AGGTGGGGGAAACAGCTGGACCTGATTAACCTGACGAGACAGGGGAACACTAACACCAGGGACCAACAGAGGGAGCACAAACCCAGAACCCAGTGTCTAAAATCCCAAACACAAACCATCCCAAAACAGCCATGAATGATAAAGTAATAACAATAAGTACATAAACATAAAGTCACTGAGTCATGGTCGCAGGACCATGACACAATAACATTTTTAAGTTATCTAAGTGACTTATTTATGTTTAACCTGAGTAGCGAAAGACGGCGGTGGGTTTGAAAATGATTTGCTGGGACTCCGGTGTTCTCACGGGCTCTAGTGAGCCTAGCCCCCGGCTCGCTATCGAGCTAGCGGGTAACAGACGTCTCCGAAAACGTCGGAGCGCTTTTGAAAGTATGTGGTGTCTTGATAAACTGAGCAGATATGTGAGGTTTACACAGCTACATTCTCGCCTGAAAATATGTTTAACGTTTATTTTGTGACCCAGAAAGAATAATAAGAGTAACATTAAAACTAACTAGCTGACGCCATTGTTGGAAACTGAGCAGGGCCGCGCTATGAATTCTGGGACGCAGCTACTTCCTCTTCGGGGTTTAACGGTCAGTGATGCCAACTCCTCAGTAAGGAAAATCGCTATTGGCTGTCCTAAAAGTCGCTAAATGACATCATCGCCTAATTTGCATAATTGGTCATGCTAATATAATTGTAACCTACGTTGTTGGAGAGAGAAATAACATCGTGGAAGAGACCTAAAGTGAGTAAAAAACTTCCTAAATGCATTTAGAGTTTATTTAGAACTACGAATTAAATTTATTTGAGCAATTATTGTTTTTTAATGTCACAATTCCAACCCTGCTCCTTTATCCGGGCTTGGACCGGCAAAAGTGACCCGAAATAGGCACTCTGGTGGAGTTACTTTTTGTGTGTGTGTGTGTGTTTATAAGTAGTTTTAAACCTGATCCACAAAACAGCATAACAGTAAAGGAAGAACTGACTGCGGGACAGTCAGTGCGGGAGCGGCAGCTTCGCTCATGCGCAATTCATTTGCAGTTCGGACGCACAGGTGTGAACATCTCCTGCCCTGATAGCAGCCGGGGGAGGACTATTCTCCGCCTGTGAGTGCTTTGGCACGGGCGAGGTGCCCACGGCAGCACCCGCTGCTTGTTGAGAGTACAAGCGATACGCGCTTTCACGTCAAAAAGACATCATAAATAAGTCTCCAGTAACACCAGAAAAAGTCGCCAGATTTGTCGCTAGTCACTTTTTAGAAAAAAAGTCACTAAGGGGGTCTGAAAACTCACTAAATATAGCGATAAAGTCACTAAGTTGGCAACACTGTTAACGGCAGCTGGCATCCTTGTACATGCAGTGCTGCCATTTTCTGTTTCAGTCTGTTATTACACTCTTAAATCCTACTGCTTATTCCTGCGTCTTTTGTGATCTTACAAAGCTTCAAACAACGTGTTGACTATTAAATCAGTCGTCGACGATTTTGATAGTCGACTAATCGTGGCAGCCCTAATCTACGGTGACAAAGTCTACTCTCCACTGCTGTGTAATCAATTATTGTAAATGTTATCAGGAAATGACCAGACAGGAGAGGGTTTTCAGGAAACACTGTTAAATGTTCAGTTTCTATGCCATATGTTAAAACAAGATCTAGAGTGTGATTAAAGGGGTGGGTGGTTCCTGTCTGAGCAGCTAAGACACTGTGAGTGTCTGCATGCTGCCTTTTCTTTAGCTACAGCTGTTTGTATACACTGAACAAAAAGCTTTGTAGCTGTATACTGACTCCCAGTGGCAGTCCTAGCCTGTTTGAAGCCCTGTCCATCTTCCATTGGTTTTAATTTTTCATTTAATATTCCAGTATGAACGCCCATCTTTCAACCTGAGGATCACCACAACATAACCTAACAGACCTAATTCTTAGTTCACAGATTCACTTTGTCTAGGGTTTACTTCTGGGATTTCGCACAACCCAGGATTCAAATCATGAATACATAATGGACTTGGATTTACAACATTATGAATGAAATGTGCTCTATTTGGAATCAGCCGTTCCCCTCCGCTTTCGACAAGTTGTGTGAGACTTTAAATCATCAAACTGTAAATTTTAAATTGTTATTGATCCCTTTAAGCCGAGTCCTAAAGTGTATATTTATTTTCTTACTCTTCTTATATTTACTTATGTTTACTTGCACTGCTGTAACTGAAGCCTCATCGTCTCGTTTCTCTATAGAGATTGAAAATGTGACGCCATTCAGGGGTAAAACCGCAAAGGATTCTGGGAACTCGTGGCAAGAGGTACTAGCGCACGCAGGCTTTCAATTGAAATCAGTTACACAGCGATAAAAAGAAACACAAAAATG